ATCTATCTATCTATCTATCTATCTATCTATCTATCTATCTATCTATCTATCTATCTATCTGAATGCAGCATGGCTAACTCTGCCTGCTGCCAGCAATTCGATCCTGACCTGCTCCAGGTCGACTCAGCCTTCCATCCTTCCGAGGTGGCTAAAATGAGGAGCCAGGTGGTTGGGGGGCCAGAGACTGACTCTGTAAACCGCTTAGGGAGCCCTGGGAAGCGGCCTATAGGCCTAAGGGCTACCGCTAAGTGCTAAGAAAGGTGGTTGAAAAGTTAGGCCAACGAGACCCTAGGATCTTTCGTAAGGACAGCCCGTGGCAGGGCTCCAGCCACGTGACCTGGCCTCCAGACCTTACCTCCAGGACAATGTCTCTTCATCAGGCAGTTCTGGGACTCAGATAGCGCCGGACACAGAGCCGCCTGGTCCTTCCCGCTCTGGAGTGACTCCCGCACTCGGACCTTCGAGCCCCACTTGTACCCACACATCCGACCTTGGTTGGTGCAGGGGCTCCAATTGCCCCAGGGGGCTGCCTCGCAGTTTTCTGGGGTGGGGAGGGGGAGAAGGGAAGAGAGTAGTGAGACGCAATCAGGACTAGGACCTTGCCACTTGCCAAACGGTGGGGTCCTTGGTGCTCTCTGAGCTGGGTGGCTTTCTTGCAGACGCTTCGTGACCAAACTAGGGAACATTGTCAGGGCTAGAAGGGAGGGGGGTTTGGGGGGGGGGAGGAGGAGAAGGAGGAGAGGAGGAAGGGGGAAGTGAATCGAAGGAAAGGAAAAAAACAAAAGGAAAGGGAAGGGAATAGAGAAGAAGGAAAGGAAAGGAAAGGAAAAAAGGAAAGGAAAATAAACAGGACATAAAGGAAAAGAGGAGGAGGAGAGAAAAGGAGGAGAAAGAGGAAGAGGGAAGTGAAGTGAAGGAAAGGAAAAAAAGGAAAGGAAAAGGAATAGAGAAGGAGGAAAGGAAAAAGGAAAGGAAAATAAAAGGAACATAAAGGAAAAGAGAAGGAGAAGGAGAGAAAAGGAGGAGAAGGAGGAAGAGGGAAGTGAAGGAAAGGAAAGGAAAAAAGGAAAGGAAAAGGAATAGAGAAGAAGGAAAGGAAAGGAAAGGAAAAGGAAAGAAAAATAAAACAGGCATAAAGGAAAAGAGGAGGAGAGAAAAGGAGGAGGAGGAAGAGGGAAGTGAAGTGAAGGAAAGGAAAGAAAAAAAGGAAAGGAAAAAGACATAAAGGAAAAGAGAAGGAGGAGGAGAGAAGAGGAGGAGGAGGAAGAAGAAGGAAGTGAAGTGAAAGAAAGGAAATAGAGAAGGAAAGGAGGAAAGGAAAGGAAAATGAAAGGGAGAGAAAGAAAAGGAGAAAGAGAAAGAGGACTGTGAGGGGATTGGCACTGTCTGAGTCTGATGGTTTTCTTGCCAATCTTTCATGACCATACTAGGGAACACTATCAGGGATAGCAGGGAGTGGGGCTCCTGGAGAGGAGGGAGGAGGGAAGAGGAAGGAATCCCAATCCAGGTTGGGGTGCAGCCTCAATTCGATGCCACTTTTGCCCCAGAATTCTGCTCCCAGGACGCAGAAGTGGGAGGGGGGAAGGAGGCGACTCCCTCCTGCAGCTTGGCTTACCTTGGCATTCCCGGGTGCTGTGCCAGGCCATGGTGTCCGGAGGACAGGTGTTTAAGCATTTCCCTTTGTGCAGGTAGAAACGCTCTTGGCATTTCATGCAAAAGTCTTTGCTGAAACAGCTCTCGCAGTTGGGCGACCGGCATTCTAGAACAAAGGTTAGAAAAAGCCATCTTGAATAGAATAGAATAGAATAGAATAGAATAGAATAGAATAGAATAGGAATAGAATAGGAATAGGAATAGGAATAGGAATAGGAATAGAATAGAATAGAATAGGAATAGGAATAGAAATAGAATAGCATAGAATAGAATAGGAATAGGAATAGAAATAGAATAGCATAGAATAGAATAGGAATAGGAATAGGAATAGGAATAGAATAGAATAGAATAGGAATAGGAATAGGAATAGAAATAGAATAGCATAGAATAGAATAGGAATAGAATAGGAATAGAATAGGAATAGGAATAGGAATAGGAATAGGAATAGGAATAGAATAGAATAGAATAGGAATAGGAATAGGAATAGAAATAGAATAGCATAGAATAGAATAGAATAGAATAGGAATAGGAATA